GGTATGAATTCTTCCATGTAATTACATCTGAAAGGTTACTCGCCTGGCATAGTGGCCAGGAACTTATAATAATTTAACTATTTGAATTTTAAATTTGCCTAGAATAACAATTGTACTTTAAATTTGTACACAAGGGGTAAAAAACGTTTAGGCGATCGTCCCCCTTTCCAGAGATGCAGGCACAGCTATTGTAGAACACCAAACTCACAAACCGCCAATAAGTGAATGCTCCAAACTCCCGAACGGCATTCAATATAGCACTCCAAACACACGAACTGGAACCATACGAATCACTGCTAGCAGACGAATAGGAAAAGCACCCAAGCGGCTTACACTCCTAGCAATCAGTCTCTATCAGCATTCAGTAAATCCCCCCAAAGACGAGACAAGGCTCCGTGTTGAGGGTCAAGCAGTGGTCTGGTTTAATGAGGGCAAAGTGCCCAGTATTTATGCAGGTCTCCCACCTGGTGGACACTCCCCTAGGGGACCAAATGGGAGACTGTGACAAAAGACAGACGAATAGACAAATAGGACACACAGTCACATTATATTCCCACAATGCATCCTGGCTTCCTCCCCTCTGCCCTGGAGATAATTGAGAAGTAATTCAATTATCTCCCAAGACAAAGGCAAATCGCCATTATGCACGTGGGGATACTACAACACGAATTACTATTAAAATACACTATGTGAGACACATAACATTAAAAGCATACATTTAACACATCCCCAGATAGCTCAGGTCTGAGCGCACATTATTAAGCGAATGGTGCTCAGACCACACTAATACAGTTTAATCGCCATGGAGCCAAAGTCTTTACACAGTCAGTTTCATGCGAATGGGCTCCATGGGATTCCTATCTGGGGTATAACATATTCCAGTAAAACTACCGAACACCGGGCCGTTCGTGCACTTTCACCGACCAACGGCGGCTTCAGCGGTGTTCGCGCAAAACTGTGTCCGATTTCAGTTCCATGAATTAGGCGTCGAACACCGCTGTGCATTCGCATGTTTAAAATGGCCGCGACCTCGTGTTCGTGATACAAATGGCAGCCACCCAGCATTCGTCAATTAAGCTGTGGTTAACGGCAGCTTCAGGGAGGCTAACTGCCGGCACACTCCAGCTCCCAGGTGGTCCAGTCATTCGTGCGGTTGTTCGGTAGATTTAATCTACCGAACACCAGGCAGAAAAGCACGAATAAAGCTTTTCTGCAGGCGAAACAAAGTCTTTTAACATGGGGGCCATAGTCCAAAGGCAGCAGGCGAGCAACCAGGCTTTTCCAATGCAATGTGGAGAGATTGCTTTCGTCACAAAATTCATCTCTGTTTTAAAATGTATTATTTGATGTTGATAATGCACGGAGATTAAAAATAAACAAAAACGATATGTATAATAAGAATTAATTAGAGTGTATCTGAGCAAAAGATTATAGGTAGAAGACTCATATATGGCAAAAAAAGGTTTGGTTCGGCAAAACCATTTTTTTCCAAAAATTTAATTTGGTTTTGACACTTAGTCATATGATGGTTTGGCTAGTTCAAATACCGACCATGAAAAATAATCAGGAAAATTATTAGATGGACAAAAATATAAAATAAATGAATAAATATTATGTATTCATTTTGCAGCACACTTATATGCACACTTTCCTCCCTTCTGGTTCACAGACAGTGAGAAAAAGCAGTCAATATAAGGAAAAATAAAAATAAATATGGTTTGTCTGTTATTTTGAGTGCTGTTGGTCAATTCTCATTTAATTTGTGAATAAAATCAACATTTAGTGTCTGTCCCCTAACCATCAATCATCATTTTTTTTTCACCTTAGGTGGAACTCCGAATCCTGAAGCAAACAAACATGCTTTCCTGTAATGCTAGTTGTTTGCTAGCTATACATTTGTGTGGTGCTTCAGAGAGATGGAATTCAGCTGAACTGACAATCGGCCCAAATTTGGACAAACTGCCAGGCCCGGACTGGCCATCGGGCACAGCGGGCAAATGCCCGGTGGGCCGCGGTGGCCATGGGCCGAGGCCGGCAGGGGAGGTCCCAGGATCTCCCCTGCCGGTCTATGCAGGGCCGGCACTCTCCCAGCGCCGGCCCCGCTGTTTGCCACGACGGGCCGGTGGGGAGATCAAAGATCTCCCTGACCGGCCCACATGCGGCCGCCGGCGGGGAGAGAGAGAGGGAGGGAGCCAGCCAGCCAGCCAGGCTGGAGAGAGGACCCGGCGGAGCTCTAATTTGCGGCTCCGCCGGGATCCTCTCGCGAGATCCGGCGCGTTGCCATGGCAACGACCGGATCTCGCGAGGAGTTCACTCACCCACGAGGACCACCAGGGAACACTGCCTCCCTGCCTCCAGTCCCAGCGTGCCGGTCCCCCCCCTCCCAGGCTAAAGGTAAGAAGGGAATAATACCTGTTTTCTTTTTATTATTTACCCCCCCTACATACACACAATAACATTTATACAGCACTCTCACACCCATCACACACAGCACTCTCTCACACCCATCACACACAGCACTCTCACACACACACACAGCACTCTCTCTCACACAGCACTCTCACACACAGCACTCTCTCTCACACCCATCACACACAGCACTCTCACACACACACAGCACTCTCTCTCACACAGCACTCTCTCTCACACAGCACTCTCTCTCACACAGCACTCTCACACCCATCACACACAGCACTCTCTCACACACAGCACTCTCTCTCACACAGCACTCTCACACACACACAGCACTCTCTCTCACACAGCACTCTCACACCCATCACACACAGCACTCTCACACACACACAGCACTCTCTCTCACACAGCACTCTCACACCCATCACACACAGCACTCTCACACACACACAGCACTCTCTCTCACACAGCACTCTCACACCCATCACACACAGCACTCTCTCTCACACACAGCACTCTCACAGAGCACTCTCACACACACACAGCACTCTCTCTCACACAGCACTCTCACACCCATCACACACAGCACTTTAACACACACACAGCACTCTCTCACACCCATCACACTCACAGCACTCTCACAGAGCACTCACACACACACAGCACTCTCACACCCATCACTCTCACACCCATCACACACAGCATTCTCTCACAGCACTCTCACACCCATCACTCTCACAGAGCACTCACACACACACACAGCACTCTCACACCCATCTCACATACCCATCTCACACAGCACACTCACATCCATCACTCACACACAGCATTCTCACACCCATCACTCACACACAGCATTCTCACACCCATCACTCACACACGGCATTCTCCCATCCATCACTCACACACAGCATTCTCACACCCATCACTCACACACGGCATTCTCCCATCCATCACTCACACACAGCATTCTCACACCGTTCACTCACACACGGCACTCTCACACCCATCACTCACACACGGCACTCTCACACCCATCACACACCGCACTCTCACACACACATACTGCACCCCTCACATACACACAGAACCCCCCCAACACACTGCACCACAAACATACACAATACTTCCATATATATATATATATATATATATGTATGTATACACGCACACACTACACTCTTAAAGGACCACTCTAGCCACCCAGACCACTTCAGCTTAATGAAGTGGTCTTGGTGCCAGGTCCTTCTAGGGTTAACCCATTGTTTTATAAACATAGCAGTTTCAGAGAAACTGCTATGTTTATCAATGGGTTAAGCCTTCCCCCAAAGCCTCTAGCAGCAGTCTCATTGACAGCCGCTAGTGGTGCTTGCGTGCTTTTCACTGTGAAAATCACAGTGAGAGCATGCAAGCGTCCATAGGAAAGCATTATAAATGCTTTCCTATGCGACCGGCTGAATGCGCGTGCAGCTCTTGCCGCGTGTGCGCATTCAGCCAACGGGGCGGATCGGAGGACGAGAGCTCCCCGCCCGGCGCTGGAAAAAGGTAAGTTTTAACCCCTTTCCAGAGCCGGGCGAGAGGGGTCCCTGAGGGTGGGGGCACCCTCAGGGCACTATAGTGCCAGGAAAACGAGTATGTTTTCCTGGCACTATAGTGGTCCTTTAACATACACACTCTGGATCCCCTATACACACACTAGATTCATTGTAAGCAAACACATTCTACACCCCTAAACACACACACACTATAGCCTGTATGCACACACTTGCTATATCCCCAATACACACATTCTCTACAGCCCATAGCCACATATGCATCACATTACACCACAAACACAACACGACTAAACCCGACCTTATTACACAATACCACACCACGACCAGCTCACTCTACACACACGCAATACCACAAGCAGGCTCCAAACACATGCACAATACTCTTTCCTGGCCTTTTGTCTCCTGGTATCCATTTATAGACACCAGAGACAAGTTGCAAGGAAACACAGTGCAAGCATGTTATTAAATTTGCTTGCACTGTGCAAAACAAATACAGGACTTTTTTCTCATGCTAGAGCTCTTCAGCAGAGCTCTGCGCATGGTCTGCCCTGGAAGAGCATTGAACCAACATGCTCACTTTGAGAGGAGGCGTGTCTGTCATTGGTGACAAAACACACCTCCTCTGCCCCGCCCCCTTTTTAGTGGGCCGCTGTGTTAAAAAAATGCCCTGGCCGAATTTTTCTCCCAGTCCGGCCCTGCAAACTGCAATTAATTAACTGCAAAATCCTAATAGGTAGTGATTTACATACGCATAGTCATATGCAATAATAACATTTAAAGTGTAACAATACTGACCAGGATATTTTTCCAACGTGTGAAATACAAACTTCAATTATATGAAGTATGGCATTACAAGTGTCTACATAATGTGTTTTAACATTATTCGGATTTGGTTGTAAATGGATATCTGGAGGCAAGGGATCACTAATGAATCTTTAGTGCACAACATATTAGTCTACGAATAATCAATGTATTATAATAAAATGATTATCAAAAAAGTATAGAGCAGCATGTACATTAAAAATTGTAGTTATGGGGGCATGGTCTAGCGCCAGATCTGAGCGGCCGCATGTAAATGCAGCCCCGTCTGAAAAACTGAAAGAGCTAAAAATTAAACCAGGTACAGAGCAGAAAACATACAGAACCATCGACAACTGTGACAGAAATGTCCCAATGCCAAAAAGCAAAGGGGGGGTAAGGCGGACCGAGCCTCCTTCTTCCTTACTAAAACCGCAGCCTCGAAAAGGCGGGAAGAACAGGAGCCTGCACAAAATGGCGGCAAAATGGCGGCAAGACAAGATCGAGGGAACACTCCCTCTCACCCCAAGCATCCCCAGCCCATAGTGCCGATGAACAACCGCTGACGATGGGGGGCATGAGAGCATTTATGGCAGAATTCTCAGACAATATTCAGACCATCAAGCAGCAAATACAGAATGTGCAGTTCCCTGTAAGATATAGGGAACTGCACATTCCAAATGGAGGTGAAGATGGGCGAATATACAGTGGCCCACTATAGCATAACTGACAAAATTCAAGAATTCAACGACATCTTAAAGTCACACAGGCTCAAGCTGGCGGATATGGAGGACAGGTTGAGGAGGAATAATTTAAGATTCCGTGGTATACCAGAGACCATTTTAAACACTCACTTGCAAAACTAACTACCAGACCTGTTACAATGCCTTACACCCGAACTACACCTCATTATAGACAGAGCCCACAGGCCGAGCAGACCAAAACACCTACCAGTAACAGCAGCGAGAGACGTCATCGCGAGGATCCACTTCTTCCATGCCAAAGAGAAAATATTTTGAGCCCTCAAGAACGCAGATGTACCGGACAAATACAGCTCCATAAATATTTTAGGGGACTTATCAGCAGATACACTGCACTTCCGAAAATCGCTGTCACCTATCACCTTAAACCTATGAGAACACAACCTAACCTATAGATGGAAATACCCAGCCAAACTCCTGATTTTCCACCAAGAGGTGCTGCACTCTATTACAAGCCTGGCACAACGTACCCAAAAGCTCAAGGACTGGGGGTTCCCAATCTCCAAACCTGTGCCCATCAGATCAACCAAAGTTCCCAGGATGTCACCGGAGTGGGCACCCCAGTGACAGCGCACCAACTCTCCAATCCATACGTAACTATATGCTGACATACAATTGCAAAATGTTTATACATTACTGTTTTATTAGGATATACTAGCTGCACACATCTTCCTCCTCCACTATCTGTAAACAAAAAAAATAAAAAAAATAACGATAACGTCGATAACTGTCTAGCAAAATGTAATGTACACTAAATACAGCATGGAACGCTGGTTAGATTTTGACTCTGCCCACTTAGCAACCCATGATAAAGCCTCTGGATAATAAGGTCTATGGAATTTCTACAAATGAGCAGTTAAATAGTACTACCAAATGGCATACCCACAGCATTCAGGAAAATAATGTACCATATTCTGATAACTGCACAAAAACTGATAGCTAGATCCTGGAAATCCACCGTACCCCCTACCATGACTACCCTTATGCAAGACATAGACAAGCAATTACTTTATGAAACATGGTTCACTAAAGCACCTAGAGTCCCTTACACATCCCTAAAACCCATGAGGAAACCATAAAATGCTAACAGAGAAGGAGTAGATAAGGGACCAGGAAGCCTTTTCAAACTAGATGGAAACTGAGTGTGAGCTTGTGATAGTAGATTTGGCTTAGTAGATACAGATAACTCAAGGGGGTAGTTAAGTAAAGGCGCAAGGCACATATGTAGAAGGAACCAATGGGCTGCTGAACCAAGGCAATTAGGCACCACAGTAAATTGAGGATGTAAACTGTGATTGAGTCGCAACACAATGAATGAATATGTAATATAAATTGATACAGGAATGTTTTGAATTCTTCTAATGTATGAACAAATGTATTACTATATTGAAATGTGACTGTTTCCCCCACCCCCTTCCCTACCCCTTTTTCTTTCTGTACCTCACTCCCAATAACCCACTAGTTGTGAAAACCAATAAAATACAAATTTCAAAAAATATTTTAGTTATTGTTGATATAGCTTAAGCAGGATATACATGAATATAGGGTATTACATGTTACAGGCATTTTATAAAAGAAAGTCTGTTAATCATTGAGAGCAACACAAAACAAAGATTAACTGTATTTCATTCTACAATAGTGATGTCCCGAACTGTTCGCCGAACGGTTCGTGAACGGTTCGACACGAACGGTTCGCGCGGACTCCAGTCAGCTGACACATTCCAGCCAATCAGCAGCAGACCCTCCCTCCCAGACCCTCCCACCTCCTGGACAGCTCACTAAGAATGCAGCTTCAAAATGGATGATGTCCAGGAGGTGGGAGGGAGGGTCTGCTGCTGATTGGCTGGAATGTGTCAGCTGACTGGAGTCTGCTGCGAACCGTGGCGAACAGTTCGTGAACCGTTCGGTGAACAGTTCGGGACATCACTATACAAGTATTCTATTGTAAGTACATCTATAGTACATCTAAAGTAACTCTACCTACTCCCCTAAAACAACCATTATTGGCCCTATTCTATTGTGAACTGTAACTGTTTTGCTACATTATAAATCTCTAGAAATCTTTTTCAAATGTGAGATTTATCTGACTTTTTTATGGCAACTTATATTCTTCATAAAAAGCAATTGGACAGGACATAAATGTAATTATTCAATAGCTTGCAATAAAGATTCACATGAATAATAGACACATTTACTACAGACAATTGTATGGCTAACCGATTTTGGTGCAGGGCAGTACCACACATAACCCCCATTGTAGATGACTGTGGGTAGGTTGTCTCTCAGTTCCAGAACATTAGCTGTACATTGGAGTTATTATAGGTAGATTGATCCAGAGATTTGGTGTCTAAACTGGATTGGGTACTCCTGAAACTAGGAATGTGGGAAAAATACAATATACATATAGAAAAATATATGGAATAGATATATAAAATAAATATTTGATTTTCCAGTGAAAAGGTATCTAAAAAAAAAAAAAACAGCAAAAAATGTATAGCATAATACAGGTATGAAAGGAACACCCTGGTGAGTAAGTTGAACACTCACACAAGAATATCAGGCTCAGCACCCTTCCAAGGGTATTGTAATAAAGATCTCCTGTAGGAAATATTCTTAGTTGGGAAAAAAAAAGTAAATAGCCACGATAGTAAAGTAAAACTGATGAAAATAGATGAAAATGTATTGAATTGCACTTAAAAGATATATAAAAGATATGTGCATCTCTACACCATTAGTGGTAATCCAGCAGAACAGCAGATCCAAAAGGTAAACAGGATAAACCCCAATCCAATAAAAATAGCAGCAATAATAAAAAAATAAAAGACTGAACACAACAATAAAATAAAAGTACAAAGTAGTTAATATCCAATGCGTTTTGTCCTTGCACCAAGACTTTTTCAGGGATGTATAACAGTGCGGTTTAGGAATATAAGTAGGCTCGTGTTGATGAGAAATGCAATCCACTTGAGTTCGGCTTGTGTTTAAGCCTGAACCACAACGATGCACCCAATGCAGTCATTCTTGATGATGTCTTTCGGTTCGGCAATTTCAGAACGTGCGCAGGTGTATAGTGCTAGCATGTGTATGCGACAAGACTGTGAGGGAACTGTACAGGTGTAACGAGAATATACCCCAACACGCAGGATTCAGCTAAACAAAAGACAACACAGAGGAGAGATACGTCTACCGGACCTTAGAATGGCCGGACTCGACGTATATGAGAGGAGACAGAGTCAGGAACAATCCGAAATCAAGGGCACAGAGAGACAGCGTAAACTAGGACAAGCCGGGGTCTGGTACACAGTAAACAACAAGCCGACAACCAGAACAGAAGGATAAAGAGAAAACGTAGTCAGAAACAAAGCCAAGATCAATACGGTGAAACACAACTGAACACAACAAGCGCTAAAGGGAACTGATACAGAAACCACGATAGGGCAGGGAGTAAAGGGAGAGGTAAGTTTAAATAGCTTCAAAACTAATGTGATTGGCTCCTGTCATATCCACACCCCCAAAAGGTAAGTGTATGGGGAGTGTGGCATGACAGGGGCCAATGGGAGCCTTTTGACAATTTAGGCTCCCACTGTCTCTTTAAGAGCGCGCCCGAGACTCGCGGCGCGCTCTTAGATTCAGGCGGGACACGTGACCGCTTCTCGCGGTCACTGCCCGCCTTGCTAGTGGAGCCGTCGGATGAGCCGCGCGCGGCTCGTGCAGCAGCAGGACCGCGCGCGGCTTGAAGAGAGGACCGCGGCCGGCCCCTGGAGAAGGTGAGTAACGCTACAGTACCCCTCCCTGAGGACACGCCCTCCGGGCGGGTAGGGCCAGGCCTGGCCGGAAAATGAGAATGGTAAGAACGCACAAGGCGGGGAGCGTGAACAGCATCAGCTGAAATCCAACTGCGCTCCTCAGGCCCATAACCCTTCCAATGCACCAAGTACTGAATTCGACCCCTAAGGTAACGAGAGTCAAGAACAGCAGAGACTTCGAATTCCTCATGACCCTCCACGGAGACAGGAGGAGGAGGTGGAGAATGCCGGGTATAGCGGTTGCGTACGTAAGGTTTTAATAACGAAGTGTGAAACACATTAGGAATACGCAGATTCCTAGGAAGACCCAAGGCGTATGAAACAGGATTAACCTTATGCAGTATACGATAAGGACCTATGAAGCGGGGAGCCAATTTCATAGAAGGCACCCGCAGGCGAATATTCCGCGTGGAAAGCAAAACCCTGTCCCCCACAACATAAGTAGGAGCCGCCCTGCGATGCTTGTCAGCCTGAGCCTTCTGGCGAGCAGCGGAATCCACCAAAGAACGCTGAACCTGCTCCCAAGTATTACGCAAACCAGCCAAATGTTCATCCAGAACTGGCATGCCCTGTGAGGAGAATGCAGCCGGAAGAACAACGGGATGCTGGCCATAGACAACGTAAAAAGGGCTTTTGCCGGAAGAATCATGAGTGGCATTATTTCGAGCAAACTCAGCCCAAGGAAGTAGGTCAGACCAATTGTCCTGATGGTGAGACACAAAACAACGAAGGTACTGCTCCAGAGACTGGTTGGCACGTTCAGCGGCTCCATTAGACTGGGGATGGTAAGCGGAAGAAAATGAGAGAGAAATACCCATTTCTGAGCAAAAGGCTTTCCAGAACCTAGAAATAAATTGACTACCCCTATCGGACACAATAGATACAGGGATACCATGTAACCGAAATACTTCTCTAGCGAAGATAAGAGCCAGTTCCTTGGATGTGGGCAACTTGCTAAGAGACACAAAGTGAGCCATCT